ATCTCTGGGTTAGGGTGAGGGTAACTTAAGAGGAAAATTTGAACATTTAGTAAGTAACCTTGTACAGGGATCTCCAACTTTGGCCCCTTTAAGACTTGTGGACTTCAACTCCCAGAATTCCTCAGCCACAAGTCTTAAAGGGGCCATGGTTGAAACCTTGTAAGATGTTTCTTAGATACTGAAAATTTCTCTGATTATTATTTTTTTCCTGTGCCTAAAACGATGCCCTCATCTTCAATTCACTATTTATCTCATGTGCTCGGTAATAAACGAGGATCCAAAGCAGTGTCTCACAACCTCGGCAACTTCCAGGAGCGGGGACTTCAATTCCCAGAATTCTCATCAACGACCATATTGGCTGTGGAATTCTGGGCTTTAAAGTTCACCTACTTGGGAAATTTGAAATCTGATCTCAAAGGTGGATCCCGAAAGAGAAATCACCCCTATTGTTACCTAGATCCCTTTATGCACAAGAGACATAGTTTATTATCTGAAAATTGGAAATTGGAAATCAAATGGCAAATTAAAAATGTCATTTTGTAGCTGCAAAAATCTTACATTTTAAAAAACCGAAATATGTTATGATGCTCTAGAGCAGTGTTTCCCAAACTTGACAATTTTAAGGCATGTGGACTTCAACTCCCAGAATTCCACAGCCAGCAACGCTGGCTGTGGAATTCTGGGAATTGAAGTCCTCATGCCTTAAAATTGTCAAGTTTGGGAAACACTGCTCTCTAGAGAGGAAAACTACCCCTTTGCCTATACAGAATTAACAGAGAGAACTACACAGGCTTTAAAACAAATCCTGGAGTTATTTTAACGGTCACAAGATCAGCGCACAAACTGCATCCTGTAGGTTGGGTTTGCATCAGCCAGCAAACCACGGTTAACCAAATGCTGGCTACTTGAATTAATCTTGTGGTCTGAACTTGCAAAGCTCACTGAACTATACACGACATTGAGCCGGTAAGTAGCCAGTCACAGTTTAGCTCAGCAGGTTGTGTGAATCTGACACGGGGGGGGGCTTTTTGCTGGCAAACCAGGAAAACCTGAACTCGGGACTCTAGAAAAGAGAGAGGGGGGAAAAACTGCAGGCACGTGAGAGGAAAGGCTTTTGAATGGAAGTTCTAAGATCACTTCTGTGGGGGGGGGGGAAGCACCTTGGATTAAACCTGCATAGGTGGTTTAGGATTGTCCCATAAATCCTTACAGACACAGCCCTAAGACAGGAAGTGGGTTTGTGAACTGAGGTTTCATTCATAAAGCAAAACAGGATTTGTGGGCTTTTTGTACACACTCTCTCTTGAAGTGCGTGTCTGTATGAGATGGTCAACAGATGTCCGGTGCAGGAAAATAACTATAAAAGAACAGTGTGTTCGGTCCACAAACAGATCTTAATCTCACCAATAAGCAAATGTCAAGTAACTTGATTCTTCCTATTTGATGCAAAGGCAGGGAATGGAAGCCTGTATAAAGTCTTTTTTTAGGTAAGGAATTAGCAGAGAGTAACAACAAAGATCTTGGAAGGAGTAGGCTGTTGAAACAGGCAGTCCTTGAGTTACATCCATTCTTTTAGTGTCCATTTAAAGTTACAAGAGCATAGAAAAAAGTGACTTATGACCGTTTTTCACTCTTACGACCGTGGTGGTCAAAATTTGGACGCTCGGCAACTTGGCTCATATCTGTGACGGTTGCCGTGTCCCCTGGGGTCACATGATCCCCTTTTGCGGCCTTTTGACAAGCAAAGTCAATGGGGAACGCCAGATTCACTTAAGTTAATAAGTGCAGTGATTCACTTAACAGATGTGGCCAGGAAGGTCGTAAAACGGGGCAAAAGTCACTGAACAAATGTCCTGCTTAGCAACAGAAATTTTGGGCTCAACTGTGGTTGTAAGACAAGGAATACCTGTATTGCAGAATAGAAATAAAATAGAAGTTTTTTTTATTCAGGGCTAAGCCTCTTTCCCTTCAACCTCAGCCACCCGGTTGCATTCACATGTTACATCCAATCTGAAAGCCGAACCCAACCATTTACTAGTTCACAAATCACACCGAGCCAGAAACCATCCCAACACACCAATTCACAATATCCTAAACCAGGGGTAGGCAACCTTGGCTCTTTTATGACTCGTGGACTTCAACTCCCAGAATTCCTGAGCCAGCCATGCTGAGGGGAAAGGGAGAGGTTTCCATGCTGAGCCATGCTGGCTCAGGAATTCTGGGAGTTGAAGTCCAAAAGTCATGAAGGGGCCATAGTTCCCCCATGCTGGCTCAGGAATTCTGGGAGTTGAAGTCCAAAAGTCATGAAGGGGCCATAGTTCCCCCATGCTGGCTCAGGAATTCTGGGAGTTGAAGTCCAAAAGTCATGAAGGGGCCATAGTTCCCCCATGCTGGCTCAGGAATTCTGGGAGTTGAAGTCCACGAGTCATGAAGGGGCCATAGTTTCCCCCATGCTGGCTGAGGAATTCTGGGAATTGAAGTCCACGAGTCATGAAGGGGCCATAGTTCCCCCATGCTGGCTCAGGAATTCTGGGAGTTGAAGTCCAGGAGTCATGAAGGGGCCATAGTTCCCCCATGCTAGCTCAGGAATTCTGGGAGTTGAAGTCCATAAGTCATAAAAGAGACAAGGTTGCCTACCCCTGTCCTAAACCATACGGAAAAACCTTATCTAGGCAAACACAAACTCTGTTCTAGCATAATAAACCAGTTCCCCTGCTACATCTTTACTTGACCTGGGTTAATGGGCTGTGTGAACACAACGTTTGCCCTTTCTCTGCCCCTCCATTGCGGCTTTCCTTGTCGCCGTCAGCAGGGTACACACAAGGAGGGCTAATCCATATTTTGGGGAGAGCCTGTTCCCAGCAACTCTTCAACGGATCTTAGCCCTCTACAACTTCCCTTCCAAAGACCCTTTGCTCATTATTGGGGAAGAATGAATTGATAATAGGACAAGCTTGCTAGATGGAAGTGGAGCTGTACTTTCTGCAGGATGTTTCAGCAGTTCCAAGAAGGCTCCACCCCCATTTGCACCACTCAGGTGACCCCGAGGACACAGGTAAACCTCCAAGTGACCTCGACGATTCTCAGAGGGAATACTAACGACCAGATGACTGCAAGGAATATAAATCCTTCCATCCGCCACCGTTCAGTCGGAACCTGAAGCAGCTTCTTGGGATGAGAAGCAAAACGTCTTCAAAGAAAAACAAGGAATGTCCAGTTGCCTCCTGAAAAAGCACCTTTGGGACAACCCTGACCTGGAGGATGGAGAATCTCCATAGACTTAAAGCTTCGCAGAGATATACATCCTACCCGCATAAAACTAGCACTGCAATAAAAATGAGATATTTTATAAAGGATCTGCAAACTAACAGGGCCTCTTTGGTGAAATGTGGTGCAACAGATTCATCTGTTGTTGTTTTAGATCTCATCTCGACACAGGTAGTCCTCAACTTACAGCCATTTGTTAAGCGGCTGTTTGAAGTTACAATGGCTCTGAAAAAAAGTCACTTATGACCATTTTACGACCATCACAGCACCCCCAGGGTCATGTGATCAAAATTTAGGGGCCTGGCAACTGGCCTGCATTTACGACATTTGCAATGTTCCCGGGATCAGCTGATCACTATTTTTGACTTTTGACAAGTAAAGTCAACGGGGGAAGATGGATTTGCTTAACCACCATCTGATTCCCTTAACAACTGCAGTGATTCGCTTAAGAACCGTGTCAAAAAAGGTTGTAAAATGAGGCCCTATTCGTTCAACAACCGTCTCGCTTAGCCACAGAAATTCTGGTCCCAATTTTTGGTCATAAAGTCAAGGACTTTATGATTTTGTTCATTGTATAATTAGTAAACTTAAATAGATTATGTTTAATATGTTTGCATAATCCTGTATTTTGCTCTGGGAAGTCGGGGGGGGAGGGGGGTGGGGGCTGGATGGGTTGAAGTTTAAGTAGTTCAGATAAAGTAGAAATAGTCTTATTGTATATAATCTTAATGTTTTAATTTTGAGAGAGGAACTGCTCGGGCATTTCCCCTGGACCGCATCAAGAGGGAGAAGAAGAAGGTAAGAAGTAAGTTGGAAGATTGAGGTGAAGGAGAAGAGGGGGTGAATGAAGAAAAAGAGGGAAAGAAGTAAGTTGGTTTGAGGTGGGATGCGGTTTGGGGGGAAACGGGCGGGCAAGACTGAATGTGGTGTGTATCAATTTGTTTTATTTTTTATCTGAAGTATTTGTAAGATTGTTATGTATTGTAAAGTTGAAAATAAAATTTTTTACAAAAAAAAAAAAGTCGAGGACTACTTAAATCTAGGCAAGGGAGTAATGTGAAATATCCTTCTGGAGAACATCACCATAATTACACCTGCATTAGTTACGTTTGCCAATTTGCCTTTTTTTCAACTGTGACGCTCTAAATGCAACAATGCGTTTTGACTGATTATTATTATTATTATTATTTTGCATTCATGTCAGAAGCACCGAGACGCTTCCGGGTTGAAAGGATTAACCGATGACATCACTGTGGTCCTGGAGATGCCCAGTTGAGGGGCTCCGTTTACGTCCCTGGCAGGAGCTGGAGCAAAGGACAGGTGCTCAACCCTGCCCCATCGCAGTTCTTGGGCCTCCAACGTGGGCTTGCTAATCTCCTGCCCAGTGTCCCAATCACTCAAGCCCCCGTGCTCCTACTGTATTTCCTTGAAAATAAGGCCCAACTGGAAAATAAGCCCTAGTGTGATTTTTTCAAGATGCTCGTAATATAAAAATAAGCCCCAGTTCAGATCATCAGCCAGACAGATGCATTTAGTACCATATTTCCCCGAATATAAGACCCAACCGGAAAAATAAGCCCTAATGCGTCTTTTGGAGCAAAAATTAATACAAAACCCAGTCTTATATTGGGGGGAACACAGGTATTTTGACAATGAAGATTTTCTTCAAATTGGGAGCGCTTGAGACAGGTAGCCAGGCATCGAATGCAGCTTGAAAAATAGAGTGGATGGACTTTTAAATATCAAGGCTTTTATAACCATCACTATAAGGGTCCAACATCAAAATGCTGTCCTTCTACCATATATACCGCACACCAGGTACCAAATACTGTCCAACACAGATTCAACTATTGTTAAGATCCACGGACACCAATATCTTCTACGAAGAGGAAACTATTGCGAAAACATCCAGAGATGCTCCAATCTTTAAAAAAATTCCTGTGGGAGAATTAGGAAGAATGTTTTTTTCTCATTGAGTCGGAAGGCGGCAGACGAGGAATTAATTTCAGTTCGAGAATAATGCATTGAAAACGCTGATTTATACCAACGAACTATTGTTTTCTCGACATGCTTGTCCTCAGAAGGACAATTGCATACTTCGCAGGATGGCAATTTACAGAAAGAGCCAAACAAATAAAATAAAAGGCATTGCTTGGAGATTTCTTCACCGTTTTGTGAAGCCATACAGCTAAGACCACTTTTTAAAGAGACTGCTAGAAATCAAATCCCCTTAGGATGAGTAGCGGGCCATTATTATTATTGTTGTTGTTATTATTATCATCAACATCACCACCACCAGCGTCCTCTCTAAAAGAGGCAGAAGGAAGAGGCCAAAATCAAGCTGAAAGTTCCAACCGATGGCAGGAAACTGGCAAAGAGAAGGTGCTGGATGCCAAAATAGTGATCTGCAGATAGAAAATGGATCAAAGAAAGTTTAGACACAGGCAGGTGAATGAGAATCCAGTGTTGATTCACTGAATTCCTCCGAGTGCAGCCAGCAGCTAACTCATAACTGAAAAAAAAAAATGCCTTTTGGAGGGTTGATGCAGGTTTTCAGCCAAATGTTTTCCTGATTAACTTTGTTTTCAAAAGCAGAACCAGTCAGCCTTTCTGGAATCTTCTCCAAAGAGAAGGTAAAGCAAATTGATGGCCTCCTTGACTGCTAGAAGCCTCTGTGGTTTCTCTAGCATGCCCCTCGCTTGGCTACTGCTTCATCGTCTTGCTGGGCTCGGACGACTGCCGGACATCGGTCCACTCCTGCATTGTGTTCTGCAAAGCTTGTGTCTTCTCCTTGTCCACCTGCACGTAGTCGACTTTCTCATCCGAAGCGACAGAGGAGGTGGAGGGCTGTCCACAGAAAGGAGAGAGGAGGAGAAAAGATGGGACAAGGGTCCAGGTTTTGCCTGCTTTGTCTTGCAATGTAAAGCAGTGTTTTTCCAGGCTTGGCCACTTTTAAGACTTGTGGACTTCAACTCCCAGAATTCCCCAGCCAGCATTGGGGAATTCTGGGAGTTGAAGTCCACAAGTCTGAAACGGGCCAAAGTTGGAGATCCCTGTACAAGGTTACTTACTAAATGTTCAAGCTTGGCAACTTTTAAGAGAAGTGGACATTAACTCCCATAATTCCCCTGCCAGCCATGCTGGCTGGGGAATTCTGGGAGTTGAAGTCCTCAAGTCTTAAAGTTGCCAAAGTTGAAAAACACTAGTGCAAAGCATCAGATTCAACCCATTCAAGAAAAGATATTCCCCCCCCTCCCTTAATGTTTTATTTAACTAACAAAAGTGAGATTTAAAAAAAAAACCACAAAAATTTCAATAGGCTTGAAATTTCAATAGACTTTTCAATAAAAAAAAAAGAATCTCAGAAATGACTGTTTTCAGTTTAGGTCAGTGATGGTGAACCTTTTAGAGACCGAGTGCCAAAACTGCAACCCAAAACCCACTTATGCATCATTGGGTGCCAGGTGGGCGTGGTGCATTGGGTGGGTGTGGCCGCGGTGGTAACGGCAGACTGGGTGGGACTAAAAAGTTCAATCAATCAATTCCAACTTTGGAAGATCTTTTTTATCCCCAAAAGAAGTTAAAATTGACTGATTGATTGAACCTGGTTTTTTTTTTTTTTGGTTTTTTTTTTGCACATGGCAGCAGAGGCCTAAAGTAAAAAGGTTTTATAAAACCCAGCGGAAAGCCTAGGACTGGGGCGACAGCGTGCATGCCCACAGAGAGGGCTCAGAGTGCCGCCTCTGGCACCCGTGCCATAGGTTCGCCACCACTGGTTTAGGTTGTTGGAGATGCAGTGAAACAAATATTCTAATTAAACATATTCCATTTTGGTAAGAAGGAATTACATTTACTGCAGAGCTAGTTTGGTGTAGTGGTTAAAATGCTGGCCTAGAAAACAGAAGGTGGTCAGTTCTAATCCTGCTGTAGGTATGAAAGCCAGCTAGGTGAACTTGGGCTAATCACCAGGAAACTGTGAGTTCTAGACTTGCATGAAAGCCAGCTGGGTGATTTGAGGCCAATCATCAGGAGACAGTGAGTTCTAGTCCTGCCTTAGCCATGAAAGCCAGCTGGGTGATTTGGGGCCGATCACCAAGAGACGGTGAGTTCTAGTCCTGCTTTAGGCATGAAAGCTGGCTGGATGACTTTGGGCCAATCACCAGGAGATGGTGAGTTCTAGTCCCGCCTTAGGCATGAAAGTTAACTGAGTGACTTTGGGCCAATCACTAGGAGACGATGAGTTCTAGTCCCACCTAAGGCATCAAAACCGATTGGGTGACTTTGGGCCAATCACTAGTCCCACCTTGAGCAGAAAAGCTGACTGGCAGAGTTTGGGCAATTTTACCAGATCCTTAGGAAGAGATTTTAGGACTCTAAAATTCCTTGCATTTCATCCTTCTAGTTAGAATGTGGCTTTGTGTTACATTTTTGTGCCTAAGGCGGGACTAGAACTCACAGTCTCCTGGTGATTGGCCCAAAGTCACCCAATTAGCTTTCATGCCTAAGGTGGGACTAGAACTCACAATCTCCTGGTGATTGGCTCAAAGTCACCCAGTTGGCTTTCATGCCTAAGGCAGTACTAGAACTCACCGTCTCCTGGTTTCTAGCTTGGTGCCTTCACTATTACACCAAACTGGCTCTCTAATTGAGTTTGTCACTCAAACTGGCAGAGTTTCCACTCAACTGCATTTCAGCCTGTTGTCCCGTGCCCACATGTTTTGTCTGCGGTTCAGTGTGGGATGGTTACAAAGCTTTCAGAACTGGATCGTACCTTTCGGTGAGGGCCAGGTGAGCTCGGCTGAAAGTCCAAAGCCAAGTAATCAACACTTGCGCTGCTCTTCTTTTGGGCCGGACTGCTTTTCCCACTTGGAATGGGAGATGCAGAAACTGGGTTTTGCTAAAATTAAAGCCGTTAGGAGCAATCAGTAAAGCAGTGGTTCTCAACCTTTTTTTTTTTTTTTTTGAAAATTTTTAAGTTTTACAAAAAGAAATTCCCTTCCCCAAACCCTCCCAACCCTCCCCTACCCTCCCCCGACCTTCCCAGAGCTGAATACAGGCTTAATTAAAAAAAATTTTTTTTAAAAAATCTTAAAACACATATAAACCATAAGCAAATCTAAGTGCATTAATTAAACAACTTATAAAATAGTTAACAACAATATATAAAAAGAGTACAAGAAGAAAGAGAAAAAGAAACAGAAAAGAAAAATTCAAATAAAAAAAAGAAAAATAAAAAAAAGTTAAAAAAAATATCTATGAAATATCTTAAAGTTTAAATATAAATTATTCAAAAACTAAATAATATTGTTCTCAACTTTTTTAATGCTGCGACCCCCAACCGGTCATAAGTCGAGGACTACTCAACCGGTCGTAAGTCGAGGACTGGTGCAGCACCGTTTGCAGAATGGGACTTTTGGCGGCTTAGCAGGGCAGCCTGGACAATTCCTATTGGCTTTTGAAAGCCAATAGAATTAGACTCTATTCAAGGGAGTCTATTTTATTGGCTTTCAAAAGCCAATAGAATAAAAGGGAGCAGCACAGCTAAGGAAAAGGGGGGAAAAAATGGCGGACTGCGTTGTTTGGCGACCCCTGTGAAATGTGGTTCAACCCCAAATGGGGTCTCAACCCACAGGTTGAGAACCACTGCAGTAAAGCAACAGCAAAAGACCCATTCAAACAATTAGTCAGAATCTGCATAAAAGGTTAATTTCCCTAACTTCTGCAAGATATTAGGCTCCCTTCCCCATTAATTCAGACTAAAAGGCCCTTTGTGTAGAAATTCAGTATAAGTATAAAAAATGCATTCATATACAGGTAGTCCTTGACTTACGACCACAATTGAGCCCCAACATTTCTGTTGCTAAACAAGACGGTGGTTAGGTGAGTTTTGACCTGTTTTATGACTTTACTTGCCACAGTTGTTAAATAAATCACTGCAATCTTTCGAGAATGCATTTTGAGGATTCAAACAAAACTCCAGATTCATTCCGTTTCCGAAATTCTTACCGTTTATTGGGTACACGGCTCGGTTATGTTGAAGCAAAACTAACTCTGAGGTTCCCACACCAATTCATAGACTTCAATAATAGTTTTCCCCAGCCAAACTCCCAATGTCTTATGTAATCTGTTATCAACAAGTCCACTTTGTTATGGGAACAGTCTGTTTCAAATACACACCTGGTCGGGTGTCCTTGAAAAGGTTTCAGGCTCCTACGGTCTGCAGCTGAATCGGAGAAATTTCATTTCTCCATCTACCCACTTGAAAGTAACACCTCCCTCCCCCCTTAATCTAAAGGGAAGTTGAATTGCAGAGGCACGTAGCTGCCAAAGTTTCATCCTTGACAGTTAAGTTAGTAACAAGGTTGTTAAGCAAATGTGGTTCCCCTCCTGACTTGTCAAAGGTCGCAAAAGGCACTTGCCAAGTGCCCAAATTTTAATCACGTGACCATGTGGAGGCTAGAATGATCGTTAAGGCTGAAAAACCATCTGACTCACTTTTTTCAGTAACTTATAAGTCACTTTTTTTTATAACTTTGAACAGTCACTAAACAAATGGTTGTAAGTTGAGCGTGTGCAATCTATTGCCTGTGTTCCAGTATCTCAGGGGCTGCCCCAAAGAAGAGGGAGTCAAGCTATTCTCCAAAGCACCAGAAGGCAGGAGAAGAAGCAACAGATGGAAATTAACCAAAGAGAGAAGCAACCTAGAACTAAGGAGAAACTTCCTGACAGTTAGTACAATTAACTGTGGAACAACCTGCGTCCAGAAGCAGTGAATGCTCCAACACTGGAGGTTTTTAAGAAGAGACTGGACAGCCATTTGTCCAAAATGGTATAGGGTTTCCTGCCTGAGCAGGGGATTGGTTTAGATCAGGGGTAGGCAACCTTGGCTCTTTTATGACTCATGGACTTCAACTCCCAGAATTACTGAGTCAGTCATAAAAGAGACAAGGTTGCCTACCCCTGGTCTAGATGACCTCCAAGGTCCCTTCCAACTTTATTATTATTATTTCCAGATGCCAACAGAATCTTAATGGTAAGATTTTCTCGTCCTTTATTTGGTGGTCTGTGAGTCCTGAGTCCTGTGTCAAATTTTTGAAACCAGATTTTAGAGCCTTTAAGAATAAATATGGGCAATCTTCAACTTACAATCATTCCTTTAGTGACCGTTCGAAGTTACAAAAAAAACTTTGAAAAAAAGGACTTAGGGCCGTTTTTCACAGCTATGATCGTTGCAGCCTCCCTGTGGTCATGTGATCAAAATTCAAACGCTTGGCAACTGGCATGTATTTATGATGGTTGCAGTGTCCCGGGGTCACGTGATCCCCTTTTGTGACCTTCTGACAAGTGAAGTGTCATGGTTCCTACTCTTCAAAGCACTTCGAGGCATTGTTTACCTTAAAGAATCTTTATTTGCGAAGCATAGCATCAGCACTAGCATATTCCAGTGATTTTCCTTCCCGCCGTGTGCATTGGTACTGTGCACGTATTTATTGCATAATGTTTCAGTTCATTCGGGAGGTCAAAGAGGTTGAAAAAGGCGGGCTTAGCTATAGTAACCTTGCTGTGTGGGTCTAGTATGGCGTACATCTTTACTGCCTTTTCAGGTTGCCCGTCGGGGTAGACTTTTGCAAGACAGATGGGTGAGCATGAAGGAGGGCATGGTGAGTCGCCGCATATATCTGTGTAGTACGTCCTGTACTGTTTTGGCTGCTCTTCGGAGTCAGTTTGAGTCTCCGTCGTCGAAGTCGCTCGTTGCGTCTCCTCAGAGGGCTTCTTAGTTTCTCGATGTAAGGCTGCTGGGTGTCTGTCACTGATGCATAGGCGACATTTCACCCTAACTGCGCACTCTTTGGCTATGTGATCCCTCGAAGCCATAATCTGAGTTCCCCACTCCTAAGCACATAGTATCAAAGCACAATTCCCTCCTCCAATTAACAGTCATAAATCACATTCCCCAATTAGCTTGAAATGCAGGCTTTCCCTCCAGTTCTCCAGCCCGCCAATTCTTATCATCTCTTATTATAACAACCTTGATTCTCACACTAGGTTCAGTATTGTTAAGTCTAGCTGAACTCTCGTGCACATTCCTCCCCCCAGCAGCAGCTAACTTTAACTCTAATTCTAAGAGTAAAACTAAGAAAAAAAGGATTGCATCTCCATCTGTTGTCAAAGGAAAAACATCCGATGTTAGCAGCATGGACACAAAGTCAATGGGGAAGCAGATTCATTTAGTGACCGGGTTACTAATTTAACAACTGCGGTGATTCTCTTAAGAAATGGGGCAGAGACAGTCGTGAAATGGGGCAAAACTCACTGAAGAACTGTCTCACTTAGCAACAGAAACGTTCGGCTCAATTGTGATAAATTGAGGATGACCTGTAACTTAAAACCAGAGCACCCAACTTTGGCAACTTCAAGTCCTGTGGACTTCCAGAATTCACTCAGACAGGATATCTGGGATTAATTGCCTCTTCTTCCTTGGGAATGTTCCCCCCTCACTACAATCCATCACAGTAGATATGGGAGAGAAGCTCAAACGAGAAAGAAGCATTTATAAAAACTTACCATGGCCACATAATTTTCTTCACTATCTCCTGAGTCGGTGCTGGTGATACTTTGAGTAGAGGTGGGACGACAATATTGAGAAAAATTGGAATTGAAGGTCTGGCTAAAACGAGAGCATCCAGAGGAGAAGTTATAACAAGTCACAGGAGGGTTTTATCTGTCAAGTTTGGAGCAGATGGACAGACTTAACCATAGTTTCAGTGGGGAAACGGTGAGCATCTTGGACCAAGTTTTACTCTTAGTCCTAAAATGGTAGTAGAGAATTCCTGGAAGCCTGGCAGATAAATCGGCCATCAACCAGCACATTGAGATAAACAACATCTATATACCATTCAAAAGGGACAATCAAACAGCCCCAAAGGAAGCAAACAGAATGACAGAATAGCAGCGCTGGAAGGGACCTTGGAGATCTTCTAGTCCAACCCCCTGCTCAAGCAGGAAACCGTATACCATTTCAGACAGGTGGTTGTTCAATCTCTTCTTAAAAAAGAGACTAAAACACTTCCTCACCAGCAACTGACACCCAGATGAGCAGAGATGAACACCAAGATTAACACTAGACCAGGCGTGTCAAACTCGCAACGTCACGTGACGTGTCACAACATATCTTAACTTTTTTTCCCATTGCCAGCAATGGGATGGGCGTGGTTTCTCCATGGTGCATCTGGCCCATGGGCCGGCAGTTTGAAACCTTTGCACTAGACCAGGGGTAGGCAACCTTGGCTCTTTTATGACTCGTGGACGTCAATTCCCAGAATTCCTAAGCCAACACGGCTCAGCTTGGAAACTTCTCCCTTTCCCCTCAGCATGGCTGGCTCAGGAATTCTGAGAGTTGAAGTCCACAAATCATGAAGGGGCCATAGTTCCCCCATGCTGGCTCAGGAATTCTGGGAGTTGAAGTCCACGAGTCATAAAAGAGCCAAGGTTGCCTACCCCTGGACTAGAAGGCCTGCAAGGTCCCTTCCAACTCAATTGCTCTGTCTTCTGAAGCGATGGAGTTGGTGTCTGATTTTATACTAAGCTATACAGGGGAATTGTTTGGGCCGGCCTTAGGATGATGTGTGAACTCAATCCCGGTGGTTTTGCAAATGCTGGGCTTAAATGACTGAGCTGGTGGAAAGTGGGTGACTCGACAACTGTGACCTCACCAAGAGACAAATCCATCTTTCTCCTCCCAGACAATGAATTTATAATCTGAATTAGGGCATGACAAATTGTCTGCGGCCTAACAGACAGCTCCATTCAACGGTTAAGGGGTGGATTGCTAGCTCAGCCCCAGGGGAAAGATGCTCTATGTTAGAAGGGTCAGGGGCTGTTTTAGCATTAAGGGAAAGAGGTGGGCCGTGCTTTGACCCAAATGTGCTTTGAGGAATCTGGCAGACCCAGGCCCTGTATTCTTAAACAGCTGTGTATATTCCCCAGAATTGTGCAGTTGTCTTCGCTGCAGCAGCACAATCCCAGGAAAAGATTCACGCCATTTTTAAAGGAGTGGCAGAATTAGCTGTAAACACCACAAAAGCACCTTTGGAGTCTGAAAAAGTGCACAGCCCTTTGTGTGTGTGTGTGTGGGGGGGGAAATTTCCTAAATGTTTAGGGCAGGGGTCTTCAAACTTGGCCCTCTTATGACTTGTGGAATTCAACTTCCAGAATTCCTGAGCCAACATGGGGGAACTATGGCCTCTTTATGACTGGTGGACTGCAACTCCCAGAATTCCTGAGCCAGCATGGGGGAACTATGGCCTCTTTATGACTTGTGGACTTCAACTCCCAAAATTCCTGAGCCAGCATGGGGGAACTATGACCCCTTCATGACTTGTGGACTTCAACTCCCAGAATTCCTCAGCCAGCATGGGGGAACTATGGCCCCTTCATGACTTGGGGACTTCAACTCCCAGAATTCCTCAGCCAGCGTGCCTGGCTGAGGAATTCTGGGAGTTGAAGTCCACAAGTCATAAAAGGGCCAAGTTTGAAGACCCCTGGTTTAGGAAGTGTTTTTCAACCTTGCTGGCTTTAAGATGGGTGGACTTCAACTCCCAGAATTCCTCAGCTGATAATTGTGTTACTAACTTAACGTCTGCAGCGATTCACTTAACAACTGCGGTAAGAAAGGTCGTAAAATGGGGCGAAACTCACTTCACAACGGTCTTGCTTAGCAAATTAGTCAAGGACTTCCCTGTATGTACAATTCAAGCAGGAGAACGTAGCTAATGTGCCTTCATTCTCCCATTTTCCTCACAACAACAACCCTATGAGGTGGCTTGGGCTGAGAGTGAAAGTGACCGGCCCAAAGTCACTCAGTCTGTTTTTCATGCCTAAGGCAGGACTAGAACTCACCGTCTCCTGGTGATTGGCCCAAAGTCACCCAGCTGGCTTTGATGCCTAAGGCGGGACTAGAACACACCATCTCCTGGTTTTCCAATAATCATTAAACCATACTGGCTCTTTAAAAAACAAGGCAGTGTTATCCACTCACCCGGGTCTAGACCACGATTTTGTGACTGGCGATTTAAAGGGCAGTTCATCGACGACTGAATTGCCCCTTAGGTCAAGGGGGGTCGGTTTAGCTGGACGAGAAAGACACTCAGAGTTAGGCTGGAGAGCTGCTTGAGGCGCCATTGAGGTGAAATTATTAAAAGTATAATATTTCCCACAGGCATCAAATGGAACACAACTTTGAGGTCCCTTGTGGCTTTCTGTAGTTTGTATATGGTCTCCACCTTCCTTGGGGTGATTTGCCCACCATGACAGTAAACAGGCAAAATCCGCAGGGCGAGTCTAAACAAATTTCATATTTTTGTTGCTATATTTGTCCGTCAAACTGAAAGTAGGTACAGACGTTTGCAACAGACCTCCAAAAGGCTACTTACAACCCAAATTCAAAGGGGCAACAGCCACGCCCCCTGTGGTCACATCATCACTATGTACTTCCAGTTTGATGGATCAATAAAATCAGCAGAACACCCTAGAAGGACCGGTCTTAGTATTCTTAGCACAACTCCAACTATCCATGCAGTCATTCATCCATCCATCTTGCACCCAACTAACCATCATCCACCCGTCTCTCCATCTTCCTTTTCATCATCCATCCATCCTCCATTCATCATCCACTCCTCCATCTATCCATCTTTTTTTTATCATCCATCCATCTATCCATCCACCCATTCATCCATCTTTTCCAGTATCCATCTACCCATCCTTTTCATTATCCATCCATCCACCCATCCTTTTCATCATCCACCCATTCTTCCACCCATCCTTCCTTTCACCATCCATCCATCCTCCATCCAACCATCACCCACCCCTCTCTCCACCTTCCTTTTCATTATCCATCCATCCTCCATTCATCTACTCCTCCATCCATTCATCTTTTCATCATCCACCCATCCATCCATCTTTTCCAGCATCCATCCATCCATCCATCCGTCCATCCATCCATCCATCTTTTCATTATCCATCTATCCACCCATCCTTCTTTTCATCATCCATCCATCCATCCACCCATTCTTTTCATCATCCATCCTCCACCCAACCATCATCTCTCCATCTTCCTTTTCATCCTCCATCCATCCTCCACTCCTCCCTCCATCCATCTTTCTTTTTATCATCCATCTGTCCATCTTTTCCAGCATCCATCCATCCTTCCACCCATTCATTTTTTCATTGTCCATCTATCCACCCATCCTTCCTTTCATCATCCACCCATCCACCCATTTTTTTCATCCTTCATCCTCCACCCAACTCTACCACCACCCACCCCTTTCATCATCCATCCATCCTCCATTCATCATCCACTCCTCCATCCATCCATCTTTCTTTTCATCTTACACCCATCGATCCTTCTCTTCATCATCCATCCATCCAACCATCCTTTTCATCACTGATCCATTCTTCCATCTATCCTTCCTTTCATCCATCCACCCACTCTTTTCATCATCCATCTTCCACCCAACCATCACCCACCCGTCTCTCCATCTTCCTTTTCATCATCCATCCATCCTCCATTCATCATCCACTCCTCCATCCATCCATCCTTCTTTTCAGCACATACCCATCCAACTTTTCCAGCATCCATCCAGCCATCCCTCCACCCATCCATCTTTTCATTATCCATCTATCCACCCTTCCTTTCATCATCCATCCATCCACCATCATCCATCCATCCTTCCACCCATCCTTCCTTTCACCATCCATCCATCCATCCTTCCACCCACCCATCCTTCCTTTCATCCTCCACCCACCCAACCATCACCCACCTCTCTCTCCATCTTCCTTTTCATCAACCATCCATCCTCCATTCATCATCCACTCCTCCATCCATCCATCCTTTTTTTCAGCACACACCCATCCATCCAACTTTTCCAGCATCCATCCAGCCATCCTCCTACCCATCCATCTTTTCATTATCCATCTATCCACCTATCCTTCCTTTCATTATCCATCCATCCATCCATCCATCCTTCCACCCACCCATCCTTCCTTCCTTTCATCCTCCACCCACCCAACCATCACCCACCCGTCTCTCCATCTTCCTTTTCATCATCCATCCATCCTCCATTCATCATCCACTCCTCCATCCATCCATCCTTCTTTTCAGCACACACCCATCCATCCAACTTTTCCAGCATCCATCCAGCCATTCTTCCACCCATCCATCTTTTCATTATCCATCTATCCATCCTTCCACCCACCCACCCATCCTTCCTTTCATCCTCCACCCACCCAACCATCACCCACCCGTCTCTCCATCTTCCTTTTCATCATCCATCCATCCTCCATCTATCCATCCTTCTTTTCAGCACACACCCATCCATCCAACTTTTCCAGCATCCATCCAGCCATCCTTCTACCTATCCATCTTTTCATTATCCATCTATCCACCCATCCTTCCTTTCATCATCCATCCATCCATCCATCATCCATCCATCCTTCCACCCATCCTTCCTTTCACCCTCCATCCATCCATCCTTCCACCCACCCATCCTTCCTTTCATCCTCCACCCACCCAACCATCACCCACCTCTCTCTCCATCTTCCTTTTCATCAACCATCCATCCTCCATTCATCATCCACTCCTCCATCCATCCATCCATCCATCTTTCTTTTCATCCTACACCCTTCCTTCCATCCATCCATCCTTTCAAAAGAGTGCCCTGGCCACTCTCCCTTCTTGTTGCAAATCTTCACCTTTTCGATCTGGTTTCAGGTTGCGGTTGATGGGCGGGGGCTGGATTTCACTCATCCGCCTCGTGGGCTGGGAGCTGCCGCCGCCTTTCTGGGCTGGGAAGGTGGCCGAGGCGTGGCCCATCAGGTCCAGGTGATGTGGCCCAGGGCTCAGTGGGATGTAGAGGTGCTGGGAGCTGTCACTGGAACCCTCTGCGCTCTGCAGGAGGGAAGAGCCTGGATTCATGGGCACGTAGTTGTCTTCGGAGTCCGTGCTGTGGGAGCGAGCCACGGCGGTTTTGTTTTGCTGGGACAGAAAGTAAAAGTTGAGTCAGAAGAGGGAATGTAGGAAAACATTCCATTTCTAGGGCTGTAAGAAGGCAGCCTGAATTTCAACTCTGCTTGATGAAGACAAGTTTCTAGTCCTTAAGACTCTAGATAATACCTTGGAAAGTACTAGAGAAAGACTCGATTGCTCTCGGTAAGGGCAAAGGGAGGAAAAGAGAATTCTATGAGGTTGTTAACATATATCAGCCAATAATTATTTATTTACTTTAATTGTGGATGACCCTCGCGTTTCATCGGCTGTTATGAGCTGGCAGCCCGCTCAACTTGCGGTGGGACAATTCAACCAGTACAAAAGTTAAATTATTTCAACAACAGTAACCATAATAATAAAATAAAGTCAATCCAGAAATACAAGAATTAAAATAGTTTCGATGAAAATAGAAGTAACTGAATGAAACAATTAATGCAGCAAAATGTCTATGGAGATTCTCAGCCACCCAAGTCGTGGTGGTCCCAAAGGTGCTTTTTAAAATATTTTTTTTTTAAAAAAGGCAACTGGGCTTCCTTTGTTTTCCTTGAAGACGTTTCGCTTGTCATCCAAGAAGCTTCTTCAGTTCATAGAAGGAACAAGAAGCTTTTTGGATGGCAAGCAAAATGTCTTCAAAGAAAGTCCAGTTGCCTTTAAAAAAAAAAAAGCACTTTTGTGATTAATACAGCATTGAAATGTCCCATAAGAGTTGGTCATGATGGGTTGTTGTAGACTTCTCACCCTGTCACCAAATTAGAAGGTTGGTGAGGAACATTTAGGCTTTAAACCAGGGTAGGCAACCTTGGCTCTTTTATGACTTGTGGACTTCAACTCCCAGAATTCCTAAGCCAGCATGGGGGAACTATGGCCCCTTCATGACTTGTGGACTTCAACTCCCAGAATTCCTGAGCAAGCATGGGGGAACTATGGCCCCTTCATGACTTGTGGACTTCAACTCCCAGAATTCCTGAGCCAGCATGGGGGAACTATGGCCCCTTCATGACTTGCGGACTTCAACTCCCAGAATTCCTGAGCCAGCATGGGGGAACTATGGCCCCTTCATGACTTGCGGACTTCAACTCCCAGAATTCCTGAGCCAGCCTGGGGGAACTGTGGCCCCTTCATGACTCGTGGACTTCAACTCCCAGAATTCCTCAGCTAGCATGGGGGAACTATGGCCCCCATGACTTGTGGACTTCAACTCCCAGAATTCCTGAGCCAGCGTGGCTCAGTTTGGAAACCTCTCCCTTTCCCCTCAGCATGGCTGGCTCAGGAATTCTGGGAGTTGAAGTCCACAAATCATAAAAGAGCCCAGGTTGCCTCCCCCTGCTTTAAACCAGGCAGAATCAAACTATCTAAGGAATACTTCCCACCTAGGAAGTTCTGGAGATGATTCTACAGAGGCCTTCATCAAACCGAGGCAAGGAGTTTCCGAAGAGGCCTCGCTTATGAAATGCCTCTCTCAGGAAAATCCACCCAACCACTAAGACGGATCATTTTTCATCACCAGCCAGAGATGTTCCACTTCCCCCAGGCAGAACTGATTTACATGGCTTGTCACTAGAGCGGACAACAGTAATTGGAGGAGAAATTGCTCCACCGGATTCTGCTTTGGTCAGCTCCAGTTCCAATGTTGTCGTCAGGGCCAAAGGCTTTCCAGCAGTGTGCGATCCTCCAAAAGGCTTTCCTGAAGATGTACAGAAGAACCAACAAGCAACTTGTCCCAAAGGTGTTTTTTCAAAGGACAACTGGAGTGTCTTGTTTTTTTTCCTTTAAAATGTTTTACTTCTCACTCAAGAAAATCTTCTTCTTCTTCTTCTTCTTCTTCTTCTTCTTCTTCTTCTTCTTCTTCTTCTTCTTCTTCTTCTTCTTCTTCTTCTTCTTCTTCTTCTTCTTCTTCTTCTTCTTCTTCCTTCTGCTTTCCTTCTTCCTCCTGTCTCAATTAACTTTTCTCCTCCTCTCCTCCTCCTCCTTCTTCTTCGTCTTCTTCCCCTTCTCCTCCTCTTCCTCCTCCTCCTTCTTCTTCTTCTCCTTCTCCTTCTTCTTCTTCCTTCTGCTTTCCTTCTTCCTCCTGTCTCAATTAACTTTTCTCCTCCTCTCCTCCTCCTCCTTCTTCTTCGTCTTCTTCCCCTTCTCCTCCTCTTCCTCCTCCTCCTTCTTCTTCTTCTCCTTCTTCTTCCTCTTCTCCTTCTCCCCTCCTCCTCCTCCTCCTTCTTCTTTTTTTCTTCCTCTTCTTCTTCTCCTTCTTCTCCTCCTCTTCTTCCTTCTGCTTTCCTTCTTCCTCCTGTCTCAATTAACTTTTCTCCTCCTCCTCCTGAAACCTTTTCTTTTTTTTCTTTTTTTCTTTTTCTTTTTTTAATTTTTTTTATTTTTAACCAACAAAACAAAACAAAGCAAAACATAACACAGACACACACAATATATACTCCTCTCCCTTTTTTTTTACAGCGATTGCGTAACGGTAATCTATTATTTACATTTCCCCCCTTATTCTTCTTTATAATATTTGTCCTTATTGCCCCGTTATTTCTTATTTACATTTTTCTTTCTTCATGTTCTACTTCTTACTAAGAATAATTCATATTATTATTATTATACATTATTATACACATATTTTCACTTTTGACCTTTCCATATTTATTCTCTTCTATTATTTCTAGTCTCCAACCAGACATACCACTTGTTCCATGTTATATAATACTCTGTGTGTCTTCCTTTTCTTTTATCTCTTTTGTTAATTTGTCCATCTCAGCACAGTCCAGGATTTTTCTTATCACTTCTTCTGAGGGTATATTCTCATTTTTCCAGCACTGTGCATATGCTATTCTTGCCGCCGTTATTATATGTAAAATTAAGTACCATATTTCTTTACTATATTTTCTGTTTAAAATACTCAACAAAAAGATCTCTGGTTTCCAGTCTACAGGTTGGTCTATTATTTCTTCGATCCATTTTCTTATTGTAGACCAGTATTTTTTTACAACTGGGCATGTCCACCATAAATGATAATATGTTCCATGTACTTTTTTACATTTCCAGCATGTTGGCGAATTATTCCTGAAACCTTTTCAAGGGAACCCCCCCCCCCAAAAAAAATAACTTTGGGATAACCATGACCTGGATGACTGAGAATCTCCATAGACCTTTAACAAGCAACTTGAAGGGTTTCTTGAAGCCCCGCAAAGCTCACCAGATACGAACTGGGTCCAACGTTTGCAGACTCTGCTGAGGGCCCTGTGCCGCTGACGCTGGGCTGGGGATATTCATAGGCTTCGCAGGAAGAAGCTGGAATCGAAAGCCCGAAAATAAAACAAGAAGAAACAGGAGAGCAAGTCAACACCTCAAATGCAACGTTAGAGATCAGCAAAGATCAGTTTCATCAATCTTTCTCAAACCTTGGCAGGTTGAAGACACCTGGCTGGCTGGGGGATTCTGGGAGTTGAAGTCCAGACATTGTCAAGTTGCCAAGGCTGAGGAACACCGCTCCAAGGTCACATCCCCATTCTTCATATAGGTTGGGGCTGCCAATAAGAGGAATGCTGGGGAAAAGCCCCTTGCTAAAATAATCTTCTGATGGAAAACAAGCAGTGGCTCAGCTACATGGTCCAATTCAAGGTGCTGGTTGTTACCTTAAGAGAAGGCACTCCTAACATTCCTTGCTTGCCTGTTCTGGTGGTGAGGTAGACATGACTGGGAAAAAGGTGGCCTTTCAAATAATCTGGCCCCGGGTCTAGAATAGAATAGAATAGAATAGAATAGAATAGAATAGAATAGAATAGAATAGAATAGAATAGAATAGAATAGAAGAGAAGAGAAGAGAAGAGAAGAGAAGAGAAGAGAAGAGAATAAGGAATGAAGAGAAGAGAAGAGAATATATGAGGATGGTGATGGGAATAGAATAGAATAGAATATAATGGAAATTAGAATAGAATAGAATAGAATAGAATAGAATAGAATAGAATAGAATAGAATAGAATAGAATAGAATAGAATAGGATAGGATAGGATAGGATAGGATAGGGTAGGATAGGATAGGACGATAGGATATTGTAGAATAGAATAGAATAGAATATATGGGGATGGGAATAGAATAGAATAGAATAGAATAGAATAGAATAGAATAGAATAGAAGAGAAGAGAAGAGAAGAGAAGAGAATAAGGAATGAAGAGAAGAGAATATATGAGGATGGTGATGGGAATAGAATAGAATAGAACAGAACAGAACAATACAGAATGGAAATTAGAATAGAATAGAATAGAATAGAATAGAAGAATAGAATAGGATAGGATAGGATAGGACGATAGGATATTGTAGAATAGAATAGAATAGAATAAAATATTAATAGAGTTGGAAGGGACCTTGGAGGTCATCTAGTCCAACCCCCTGCTTGGGCAGGAAACCCCATACCATTTCAGACAAATGGCTGTCCAATCACTTCTTAAAAACTTTCAGTGTTGGAGCACCCACAACTCCAGTGTCCCTGGAGTCATGTCATCGCCCTTTTGCGACCTTCTGACAAGCAAAGTTCATGGGGAGGCCAGATTTCACTTAACCACCGTGTTAGTAACTTAACAACTTGTGGACTTCAACTCCCAGAATTCCTCAGCCAGCATGGGGGAACTATGGCCCCTTCATGACTTTTGGACTTCAACTCCCAGAATTCCTGAGCCAGCCTGGCTCAGCTTGGAAGCCTCTCCCTTTCCCCTCAGCATGGCTGACTCTGGAATTCTGGGAGTTGAAGTCCACGAGTCATAGCCAAGGTTGCCTATCCCTGGCATAGGCGATCCTAACCTATTTCGTAGGCACCAAATCCAACAGAATAACAGAGTTGGAAGGGACCTTGGAGATCATCTAGTCCAGGGGTCCCCAAACGGTGGGCTGCAACCTGGTAGTGGGCTGCGGCCTGCTGGCCACCGGGCCGTGGGACAGACTGGCCAGCGCTCGCGCATGCATGTGCACACCCCCTCACCTGTGTTAGCGCTGCAGCCGCGGGGCGCAAAAACAGTATGCTATGCCAAGGGCACAAAAATGGGCTGCTGCCATGCCACAGGGCACAAAAACAGGGCACTGATACTCCACGGGACGCAAAGATGGGATGCCCCCGTGCTGCAAGGAGCAAAAATGGACACCGCCGCACCGTGGGGTGTTGAAACGGGATGCTACCACACGGTGGGGCATACAAATAGATGCCGACGCATCGTGGGGCTCAGAAACAAGGCACTGTGCCACGCAAGAACAGGGCAGGGGTAGTGAGTATCATGTGGGTGCTAGCCCCATCCCATTGTGGTACGTGCATGCTTGTAGTCCCGTGTGCATGTGTAAAATGCTTCCCCCTCCCTTTTCCTCCGATCCGCCAACTGACAAAGGTTGGTGACCTCTGATCTAGTCCAACCCCCTGCTCAAGCAGGAAACCCTATGACAGTGGTGGCGAACCTTTTAGAGACCGAGTGCCCAAACCGCAACCCAAAACCCACTTATTTATCGCAAAGTGCCAGGGCTGCACCAGCATTGTGGTGCCCTCAGAGGGGGTGGGGTATGTGGCCCACTGGGTGGCCGTGGCTGCAGTGGTCATGGCAGACTGGGTGAGGGTGGCCGGGGCCAGTCCCTCGCTATCTCCGGGACATCCCCGGGGGGCCAACACCGCTTGCTCGCTCACTTCCTGCCCTGTCACTTCCAAACGCCACATGCTTGCTACGCCGGCGAACTCTGCTGGGGCAACGGCACGCGTGCCCACAGAGAGGGCTCGAAGTGCCGCCTCTGGCACGCGTGCCGTAGGTTCGCCACCCCTGGACTATGAGAAACGGCTGTCCAGACTCTTCCTGAAAACCTCCAGAGACTGGAGCTACCTCGGTGTAACCGGCAGTTCTCTACTGCTGGCAGCGTGTTCCTTCGGGGAATGGTCGTAACTACAGGGCTCGCGCTGAGGCCTTCGCCGTCCATCAGGCGTTGTTGGGGACTGCCCCAGCGGGATTCGGCCTGTCCCGGCTTGGGAGGTCTCGGGGGAGGCGTTGCCCCCGTCTCACTCGAAGCCACCGCCAAGGCGTTGTGGTTCTTGTCGAGCGTGAAGGTCCGTGGAATCTGGTAAATGGAGAGAGGGGTGCCAGGAACGTCGTAGGAGTCGGTGGAAAGTTCCCCAAACTCTTTGCAAAGGGTGCTGTTGGGGGTCTTGAAGGTGTAGACCTCCTCGCTATCCGACGTCTCCGAGCCAGTGAGGCTTGACTTGGTGTAGGCGTAGCAGCCAAAGCTCCTGGGCAAGTCGTAAGCGCTGTCCCTCAGCTCCGAGTTATGCCGGCTCGGTTTGGGCAAACTGTAGAAACCGTGGACTTGCCCGCCCCCCACCCCGTTGACGCAGTGGCCGTTCTCGTGAGATGCCTTCTGAACCGAGGGGTCGCTCCTCATGAAGAAGCGGGTAGCTTGAGAGAAGCTGGCGCTCCTAACAAGGAAAGAAGAAGAGGAAGAAGGATTACTGCGTTGATCGTGAGAGCCAGTGGCTAAGGCATCAGACTGGAAGGCAGGAGACCCCGAGTTCAAGTCCCACCTTAGCCGGGAAGGCTGGTTGGGGGACATTGGGCCAATCACCAGGAGATGGTGAGTTCTAGTTCTGATATAGCTATGAAAGCCAGCTGGGTGACTTTGGGCCAATCACCAGGTGATGGTGAGACCTAGTCCCGCCTTAGGCATAAAAGCCAGATGGGTGACTTTGGGCCAATCACCAGGTGATAGTGAGTTCTAGTCCCACCTTAGGCATGAAAGGCAGATGGATGACTTTGGGCCAATTACCAAGAGACGGTGAGTTCTAGTCCTGCCTGAGTCATGAAAGTCAACTGGGTGACTTTGGGCCAATCCCTAGGTGATGGTGAGTTGTAGTCCCGCCTTAGGCAGGAAAGCCAGCTGGGTGACTCTGGGCCAATCACCAGGTGATGGGGAATTCTAGTCTTGCCTTAGCCATGAAAGCCAGATGGGTGACTTTGGGCCAATCACCAGATGATGGTGAGTTGCAGTCCTGCTTTAGCCATCAAAGCCAGCTGGGTGACTTTAAGCCAATCACCAGGTGATGGTGAGTTCTAGTCCCACCTTAAGCATGAAAGCCAGCTCAGTGACTTTGGGCCAAGTAATGGTGAGTTTTAATCCCGCTTTAGGCATGAAAGCCAGCTGGGTGATTTTGGGCCAATCACCAGAAGACAATGAATTCTAGTCCCGCCTTAGGCATGAAAACCAACTGGGCCAATCACCAGGAGATAATGAATTCTAGTTCTGCCTTAAGCATGAAAGATAGCTGGATGACTTTGGACAAATCATCAGGTGATTCCCCAGGATGATTACGGTTAGGGATTAGGGTTAGGGTTTAGAGTTAGGGTTAGGGCAGGGGTAGGCAACCTTGGGTCTTTTATGAATCGAGGACTTCAACTCCCACCATAGCCGGCTCAGGAATTCTGGGAGTTGAAGTCCACGAGTCATGAAAGAGCCAAGGTTGCCTACCCCTCTGTAAGGGCTAGGGTTTAGCTTTAGTGTTAGGGCTTAGGGCAGCGGTTCTCAACCTGTAGGTCAGGACTCCATTTGGGGTCGAACGACCATTTCACGGGGGTCGCCAAACAACGCAGTCCGCCATTTTTTCCCCCTTTTCCTTAGCTGTGCTACTCCCTTTTATTCTATTGGCTTTTGAAAGCCAATAGAATAGACTCTCTTGAATAGAGTCTAATTCTATTGGCTTTCAAAAGCCAATAGGAATTGTCCAGGCTGTCTCTGCCCTGCTGAGCCCGCCAAAAGTCCCATTCTGCAAACGGTGCTGCAAGTTGTCTGCAGCGAAGGCGAGCTGTCTGGAAGCTTCCACCCCTCCCTGCTGAGCAACTACTAAAAATGTAAGTAAAAGAGGGCGAGGGGTGGGAGGTGGGAGGCCGGCGGGCGCAGGGAGGGTTGCTGGCGCGCGTGGGGCCCGGTGGGTGCCTTACCTCCCTTGGGCTGGGCCAGCTGGTGGCCCAGCCGGTGGTCACCCTGTGCCGTTGCTGCCCTTTGCCAGCTACGCCTCAGCCAGCACAGGGGGAGGCACCACGCATGTGGGTGCTCCCGGGCAGGGAAAGTCCTCGACTTACGACCGGTTGGGTAGTCCTCGACTTACGACCGGTTAGGTAGTCCTCGACTTACGACCGGTTGGGGGTCGCGGCATTAAAAAGGTTGAGAACCACTGGTTTAGGGGTTAGGATTACGGTTAGGGTTAGGTACTGGTGATGGAGAGGCGAGAGTTTCACATACGCACCGCCTCTGGCGCAAGCGGAGCTTCATGCGCTTGTGTGCTCACCCGCTGCTTGTGCGGCCCGCTTCCTAACAGCCCGTGGACTGGGAAGTCGGGGACCCTTGCGATAGATTAAAAAGAATGACTGGATGAACCCAGAGTTACCTGGTATTTTCTGATTTCTGGCTCATGCATTGGTGTAGAAAGAGATAGTCCTGAGGCGCGCTGGTGGAAAGCGTGGTCCGGATATGGCTAGACGGTGACTCAAAAGTGAAGAGGGTGGGCTGGCTTGAGTGCGAAGGAGCGGACGTCTTTCGTTCCCGCAGCAGCCGTGGGTTGGAGCCGCTGAGCTCGGCCGGGGACGAGCGGGGGCCGTGACTCACCGGAGGGACGTTTCGTAAGGAATCTGCCCAGGAGGGAAAAAAAAAACAACAGAGAAGTTGCTATCATCATTAACACGACTAAATTGCGGTTTATTTGGGTCTGTCCTTTCCTAAGGCTGAGATTTTACTGAGTGTCTCTTTAAGTGGTCCAACACTGGAAGTTTTTAAGAAGAGACTGGACAGCTGTTTGTCTGAAAGGGTACAGGGTTTCCTGCCTGAGCAGCGGGTTGGACTAGATGACCTCCAAGATCCCTTCCAACTTTATTATTATTATGGATCATCGCACAGTCAGCCAGAGGTTCAGACTGGATTTGGCATTTCTGTCTACCTATCGAGTCCTTACCCAGGACCTGGGATAGGCAGATGTGGATGTTTGATGGTATCACAGATCTCGTCGCAGGATGGAAGCAGTTCCTAGTAAGGCCGCCTTTTGCAATTGACTAATGGTGAATTTGTCAATGCCGATGATGGTTTTCAAGTGGTGCTCCAGTTGTTTTGGGATTGCACCCAAGGAGCCTATGACTATTGGTACTACCCTTGCTTGCCTTTGCCACAGTCTTTCTATTTCTATTTGTAGGTCTTTGTATTTTGTTATCTTCTCCAGTTCTTTCTCGTCTATTCTGCTGTCTCCAGGCACTGCCACGTCCACTATCCAGCCTTTTTTGTCTTTCTTAACAATTGTTAAGTCAGGGGTGTTATGTTGCAGGTGTTTGTCTGTTTGAATTCTGAAGTCCCCAAGTACCGTATTTTCTGGTATATAAGACGTCTTTCTAAAGCGCAGAAATCAGCACCGAAGTCGGGGGGCGTCTTATACGCCGAGTCGTCTTATACGCCGGAAATTATGGTAGTTTCCAGCGTATAAGATGACTTTCTAGGCATGGAAATCGGCGCTGAAGTCGGGGGTCGTCTTATACGCCGGTCGCCTTATGCTCCGGAAATATGGTAGTTTAATTTTATCATCTGCTTATGACTTTCTCTATTTTATGATCCCACCAGTTCTTGCTTACAGGCAAATGATATTATTATTATCATCATCATCATCATCAAATATTAGACCACTGTTATCATGTCCCCCCCCCCAGTCCTTCTCTTCATTAAACTAGACATACCCAATTCCTGCAACCATCTCCAATTAAAGCGGCATTAGTCTGCAGGAAATATGAAAAACTGCCAGAGAGTTGCTGTCAGCTGAGTGGATTGTCTGTTTTTATCCAACCGGGCTCGTTCCATTAAGGGACACGATTCAACAGCATCTGGGATTCAGCTATGATGCAAAATCTAATGTCAAGTGTGCTTCCTGGAATCCACGCCTCTCCCCCCCACCCCGCCCCGCTATTTCTATTAAACTGAGAAAGGGATATTAATAAACCTTGCTGACTAATTTCTGCCTAGCTGCACCTCCAATCAATATTCAACTTTAGCTTTTATGATGTCAGTGGGAGATTAAAGGGGGGGGGGGAAATTATATTCTGTTTCCATAGCTCATGGTAAGAAACACACAGAGGCTTCAATCCTGCTTTCCGAAAACTAAAGCGAGTGAGTTATGTCGTAAGAATTTAAATAGCCTCATTTCATTCCTATGTTTATTACTCTGTCCTGATAAAACTGTTATTTCAATACATTTTTGAGCATGGCAGATGTGAAAATGGTTCGGAACACTTAAATACGCTTCTCTGGGGTTCTAATCCTAGAGCAGTGCTGCACCAGTTGAGTAGTCCTCAACTTACAACCGGTTGAGTAGTCCTCGACTTACGACCGGTTGGGAGTCGCGGCATTAAAAAGGTTGAGAACCACTGTCCTAGAAGTTGTGGGAAGTCAGCCCACCCCCTCCAGAGAAGGAAATATTAAAAGGGCAGAATATTACATTTCCTCTAAATTACTCCAACCCCCTGCTCAGGCAGGAAACTCTGTAGGTGGCACGCAGAGCCCTCTCTGTGGGCACGCATGCCGTCGCCCCAGTCCTAGGCCTTCAGCTGGGTTTTATAAAATCTTTTCGCTTTAGGCCTCCACCGCCATGTGCAAAAAAAAAAAAGTTCAATCAATCAATTTCAACTTCTCACGGGAAAAAAAAGATCTCGCAGAGTTGGAATTGATTGATTGAACTTTTTAATTCCCACCCAGTCTGCTGTTTCCACTGCAGCCATGCCCACCCAATGGGCACACCCACCCATGGGCCACGCCCACCCGGCACCCGACAATACATAAGTGGGTTTTGGGTTGCAGTTTGGGCACTCGGTCTCTAAAAGGTTCGCCATCACTGCCCTATACTATTTCAGACAAATGGCTACCCCGTCTCTTCTTAAAAACTTCCAGTGTTGGAGCATTCACTGATTCTGGAGGCAGGTTGTTCCACTGGTTAATTGTTCCAAATGTCAGGAAATTTCTCCTTAGCTCTCGGTTGCTTCTCTCCTTGGTTAGTTTCCATCTGTACTTTCTTCTCCTGCCTTCAAGCGCTTTGGAGAATAGCTTGACTCCCTTTTCTTTGGGGCATCCCCTGAGATATTGGAACACTGCTATCATGTCACCCCTGGTCCTTCTCTTCATTAAACTGGACATACCCAATTCCAGCAGCCTTTCCTTATATCAGTGGTTCTCAACCTTTTTTACTGCCGTGACCCCCCAACCGGTCGTAAGTCGAGGACTACTCAACCGGTCGTAAGTCGAGGACTACTCAACTAGTGCAGCACCGTTTGCAGAATGGGACTTTTGGTGGGCTCAGCAGGGCAGAGACAGCCTGGACAATTCCTATTGGCTTTTGAAAGCCAATAGAATTAGACTCTAAGAGAGTCTATTCTATTGGCTTTCAAAAGCCAATAGAATAAAAGGGAGTAGCACAGCTAAGAAAAAGGAGAAAAAAATGGCAGACTGCGTTGTTTGGCGACCCCTGTGAAAAGGTCGTTCAACCCCAAATGGGGTCCCGACCCACAGGTTGAGAACCACTGCCTTATATGCTTTAGCCTCCAGTCCCCTAATCATCTTTGTTGCTCTTCTCTGCACTCTTTCTAGAGTCTCAACATCTTTTTTACATATATCTCTATATATTATGCACTCATGTCAGAAGCATCGAGAGGCTTCTGGGTTGAAAGGATTAACTGGTGACATCACCATGACCCTGGTTGTGCCCAGTTGGGGGCTCCTTTCATATACCCAGCATGAGCTGGAGCGAAGGATAGGAGCTCAACCCCGCCCCTAGGGCAACATTCAGGTCTCGAACAAGGACTTGCTAACCTGCAACGCAGCATCCTAACCACCCAAGCTCCTTTTTTCAGTGCTGTTGTAACTTTGATTACTAAACAAAGCCAAAGACTACCTGTAGTTATTTAGCAGATTCAAATCCTGTCTCTTCTCTACTCATCCAGTGAAAGGGAAGCAACTAACTCAGGGGTCTCCAACCCCAGGGCTGGAGCCCGGTACTGGGCTGTGGCCCGTTTGAAACCGGGTTGCAAGAGCAGCAGGCCCGCCTGCTTGCGCACGCAGCTCCATTTGAGTGAGCAATGGGCACACTCACTTAGGCATGAAGCTCCATTTTTTGCGAGGAGAGGGCGTGCCTACTGCTCGCACAAATGGAACTTTACAGGTACGCGTGAGTGCCCGCCACTTGCACAAATGAAGCTTCACAGGTACGCGTGAGTGCCTGCCACTTGCACAAATGGGGCTTCACAGGTGTGTGTAAGTGCCCACCGCTCGCACAAATGGAGTTTGCAGGTACGCGTGAGTGCCCGCCGCTCGCTCAAATGGAGCTTCACACATGTGTGTGACTGCCCGCCGCTTGCACAAATGGAGCTTCATGTGTGCGTGAGTGCCCACTGCACGATCAAATGGAGCTTCACACATGTGCGAGTGCCCACCGCTTGCACAAATGGAGCTTCACGTGTGCATGAGTGCCCGCCACTTGCACAAATGGAGCTTCACACACGTGTGTGACTGCCCACCGCTTGCACAAATGGAGGTTCATGTGTGCGTGAGTGCCCACTGCACGATCAAATGGAGCTTCACACATGCACGTGAGTGCCCGCCACTTGCACAAATGGAGCTTCACATGTGTGCTTCAGCACCTGCCGCTCGCTCAAATGGAGCTTCACGTGTGTGTGAGTGCCCACTGCTTGCACAAATGGAACTTCACAGGTGCGTGTGAGTGCCCACCACTCACATAAAACTATTTCCTCTCCCCCCACACTGGTCCAGAAAACTGGAAAGGTTGGGGACCACTGAACTAACTGATTGATTTTTTAAAAAAAATCTAAGCAGGGTGAAAAACCTAGTTAATATTTAGATGTTACAGCACTGATTTTCCTTTCCTGGTAAAATATTACGCCTTCTCTTGGCTTTAGACACACTTGAGGCTAGTGTCAATTAATTCCACCAGAAAACAATTAGATTACTGCAAAGTAGTGGAAACGGTTTAGCGGTGGTAAATTTATTTACTCTCCTGGTGGGCCCAGAGAGATAAGGCATTGAATGTCTTTAAGGCAACATATTTTTTTTTTTTAAAAAAAGAAATTCTCAAAGCAGTTGTAAGGCTGATTCAGCTCAAGAGACTGGCCCTCAAACTTTCTGGATCAGAATACATTCAAACTCACTTGAAAAGAGGAAAAGCAAGGATTTCACAGAATATTAACATCGTAATTCCTGAAACGGAGCAAATAAAGAGAAGTGAATTATCTGTGATTAGCATTGAGCAGACACTTCTTTCTGAAGTGGGGGGGGGGGAGAACGCATGTTGTTCTTGTTGTTATTCTCCAAAAAGCCCACAAAACCTGTGAACACAGAGGGAGAAAATAACACGGTACAAGTCATCCTCGATTTACGACCACAACTGAGCCCGGAATTTACGCTGCTAAGAGAGACATTTGTTAAGTGAGTTTCGTTCCACCTTTCTTTGCCACCGTTGTTAAGTGAATCACGGCAGTTGTTAAATTAGCAAAACGGTTGTTAAGTGAATCAGGCTTCGCCCATTGACTTTGATTGTCAGACGGTCGCAAAAGGGGATCACGTGATCCTGGGGACACTGCAAACCGTCATA